ATACGTAGTTAGAGAGAGAAGATATGACTTACAGCAACATAGATGTCCTTGAGAGCAAGACCATAAAGGAGCCATATGACCGCACTAATTGTAAGGGTTAAGGATAAGCTAAAGGGCATGTACTCCACACTCCTTGTCTTTATTACCGTCCTCTATAGTTGAAACAAAAAATCATATGTTAGTTATTGAAATTAAAGATCAGTTATATTATATACAATATCACTTAATCAATAAGTTCTTACGATTATGCTTAAAGGAGCAGCGAAAACACAGACAGAGAATCCAACACAGATTCCTCCGATGATCTTTGCACGTGTTGTTCCTTTTGCCAAGAGTTGGCAAAGAAGAAGAATCAGACAGAATCCTCCAAAGTTCATAGCAAGTAGCAACTTCACTGTCGTCATCTGCATCCATAAATAAGTGTTTTAGTTATAGTGATTTAATTTGAATATGTAAACAAACATATGTTTATATATGGATTGAAGGTTTTGTAGTTACCCGGGCTTTCTTGGGGGCGTAGGCAAGGAACATAGAGATGTAGATGGTTTCGATGAAGCAGCCAAATGAGTTGATGGTAACAAGGAGGAAGACATCTTTCTTCTGTGTTGCGTAGTAAAGCCAAAGCGTCGCGCTGAAAAGCGCTACAACATAAGGAAGAGATTGAAACCCTTCTGTTGTCTTCTTCTTCCAAACCCTATAGAACGTTGGCCTGCATCCATTTTTATATAATTTGAATATTTAAATATTTTACGGAAAATTATATGTTGTACATAGGCATGTTAACATACATATATGCTAGTTTTGACATATTGAATTATGAAAGCAAGATTAGTACGTGAGAAATACAAATGATTTTTATATGTTTTGGTTTTACTAATAGATGTTGAAGTAACATGTGAATAGAACTTACACAGGAGAGAGGAACACAGCAAAGGAGATGACATTCCCTGAAAAGTATAGAAGAATATAACAAAAGTATTGTATTAATAAATCGATGTTAAACCTCTAGGATTTAGATTAGAGTTTTGCGGAACTTGGTCAAAAATATGCATACGAAATGAACAGAAACGTTAGTATCATACCGAGCAAACCAAAGACAAAGGCCCATGTGTTGTGAGTGTCGAAGAGAGGCATGATTTTCTCTGGTTTAGATAAACTGTTTATAGGGGTTTTTGGAGGAAGAAGAAGACAGATCGCACTTAGACTTGTAAGTGTTTTCTCTTAATGTAATCGCTAATGGCACGAGCCTAAACATTTCTAGGACTTCACGTATATATAGAGGGTTAGGGCTAAAGGGAGGAATGGGGTTTGTGTGGGAGAGTTGGAAAAGAGAAATATTTGTGTGAACAAAAATATTTTGAGAAAGAAAAAGAATTAAAAGCATTAGTTAGTGTCATTAGTTGTATTGCAAAAAAGAAAAGAAAGAAATGTGATAGACCTATAACAATAATTCACACGCTAATCCATTACCAAATTGTATACATGTTGACGTACAAAAACACAAATCCGTTACCAAAATTGCTTGTTTTTTTTTTTTTGGTTTCGGCTTAAGCGATAGATACTTAAACTTAATTAGTTATATTTGTAATGCTTGTCAATCTCAGTTTAGGCAAGCTCTTTTTTAAGGATTATGTCTAGATTCTTTTTATGCATTTATACATAAAATAGTTCTGACTGGAAAACTCGAGAATTACATGCATAACTTAAATAATGACCTAATTATTTTGCGATTTTCTGATTTTGACCAATCATCTATTTTTTCAAATGACATAATAAATATTTTTGCTATTAAGTGAACTCGTAGTTAAATTGATTATGTTTTTTGCTCATGATTATGTCATTTAAGTTTATTCTACATATTTTTCTTACATTACGCTTACGTGATTTCGTGGTATTGCTAATTTAAACCATATCTTCTTCTTTTTTTCGTCACAAACCAATCTAGTAATTACAAATGATCAAAATGAATGATTATATACTTTGCACAAACTATATGGCATGTAGTGGACAATTATATTTCAAAAATTTTTAGTTTAATTATGTATGAATGTACAGCCAATATGTTGATTAAACATCTAATATAAATAGATATACACTAAATACATATATATGTATATAATAATTTTATAATTTCTATCATTACAATATTACGACAACCTGGAAATTGCTTTAGATATTTTGTTAAAGAAAATGAGCTCGCAAAGTTCTCACTAGATTTACGTTACCAAGTAAATTAGTTCACGTGACACTGTATGTCAAAACATTATGCCGTTTTCACTTTTAGCTCTTTTTAATCCTGATATTCGTGTCTCTTTATAGAGCAGGTAATAATTAGCCGTTTCTCAATCATTATTATTTTGTCCGTACCATCGGAATATAATAACAGATTCTTCCTTTCTATTACACATATGTACATAGTTCTATTATCAAATTTATAGATTAAAATATCCTAGGCAGGTTATATTAATTATATTAGATAAATTTTTTGAATATTGCCGAAGTTGTTACCTATTTAAATCCTTTTAATTAAGAGACAGTAAAACTCTTTGAGAAAAAAATATTTTGAAAAGGTAAAACCAGATGGATATATAATACTAATATTCAGCTGGTATATACATTGAGACTGAAGATTTTAGGTAATTAACAAGACTATTATATAGTTCTCCTATTACAAATTGTAGCTACAAAATAAAATGAAATATATTTAGAGACCAAGTCTTGAAAAATACCGTAGATATTCAATCAATCAGTATCTTCATTAAATTAAAGGCAAGTAGTTTTACACTTTACTGCATCAATAACTGGATGGATAATATGAGAAACCTAACACCAATATAGTTCCCGATTGATTGGATCAACCCCATAATAATAATTTTTACACCGCACATTTATGGCTACTCGTTAAATATTTGAATAGAGATTTCTATTGTAATTAAAATATGATTATATAAAAAAGTTTAGTTAGTCTTTATTTTGTCTGTTCCATACGTTAATAAAAAAAAAGGTTTGATGCATTATATTTAAAAGTTATAGAGTTTACAATTGTTAGATAGAAACTTTACAATTGAGATAACATACATTTTAAACAAACATATGAGAGAAAGATAGAGAAAGTATCATATGTAGTTCTACTTATAGAACTTGAGAATTTTACCGCGACTTAGAGATTTGATTCACGGCCTCGACCGCGTTTTCCCTTGCCTCGGCCAACCACCATGGTCCATTGCTTCTCTTGGACTCTTTCGTGAGCTTGATTAGTCTTTTTCCTCAGCTTCTTTGAGAGTAACCATCTCACTCACCTTCCCTTGAATACATTTAGACGGAATCCAAGTATATTATACATCCACCACAAAGATTATACCCTTTTTTGTCCTTAACCGCAATCTTAAGAATTTTTTTTTTATCCAACTCAACTTCAACCAATATCTTAGTTTTTTTCATCAAGGTTGGGTCTAGCTTAGGTTTTTTAGTGAGCACTGGTTCTCGTAACCCTGAAACTATCCAACTAATTCCAACAGGTGAATAAAGGCGGTTTGTAATATTTTCAAGAGTAACCCAAATAAAGACAAGAGATTTCATAGATAGCTAAGGAAGCTTCAAGGGTCCAAGGGGCGACAAATAAAATGTATCCATCAACATGCTATAACTCGCGTTGTAGAACTTCAAACTCTAATGGAAGCATCATGTATATGAAACAAATACGAGATTCACCTAATTTACGTATAAAATTATTTATCGTAAAGATAAAACGTCCATCATAAATTTTATAATATATATTATGGAATTGTTAAGGAAATTTGATTAGATTTTCTAATTATATTTTTAATTTGAAAAGATTTCTCTTACTTTTTATAAATAATATAATTGTGTAATGGAGGAGCAAAAAACAAATGTCGGATAACAGAAAAAGTAAAACCATTTTCATTACGTGAGGCCTATGAAAGCATGTGGAATTCACGCGCGCATTAGAGGTAGAAAGCTCTGTTAACGTTACAAGTGGCGAAACTTTAGAAGAGACAATGCCAATTATACGTATAAGCTTTTTCCTTTTTGCTAGTAGACGTCTCCATTTTTGCTTTGTAATACATGCATGATCGCATGCACATAAATGAGGAAGGTTTTTAATCGCAATGTTTTGACGCTCGTAAACATATGATGATTGCCAAATTGGTAACAATGTCGGATCAACGAAAATGGCTGATTAGTTAGTTTAGGCAGTTTACGCGTCCGGTCAATCATTCATATATATCTAAACATCTGATTAATAGAGTTTATTATGTGATAAAGTAATTATTTTTATTTTTTGTTGTTGTTGCCCGTAACAAACATACTGTTTGTAATATATATTAAAAAATACAAATAACAAAACTGTGTTTAAGAAATTGAATTTACTCTAACTAAGAAGAATGTTGGATTTTATTAAAAAAAGTCTATCCCAAACAAGTATACCGGATGGAAACTCAAGGTGCACTAATCATGATAACTCGAGTCTTCCCAGTTTCGTCTTTCTTATCACTAAAAATATATGATTATTGCAAAAGTAGTAAGTATTTTGGAGCACCAAAAAATGGACGATTAGTTAGTTTAGCTGTCTAACTATTCATTATAATTAAACGTGTGATCAATCGGTTTTGGCAATGGATTAATCATTTAAAACACATGTTTGTTATATATTTGTAGATATTTTTAGTAGTTTATTATGAGAAATGCATTAGACGCGACCAAAAGTTTGGTCAAAATTGGAAAAAGTTACGAATGGTAAATTGCCAAAAGTTTTGCTAATAGAATGTTATTGTTATTTACTTGGTAGAATTTGATCAATAGAGGTCGATCTCATGGATGCT